AATATATAATATTTTGAAATATTTTATAGGTGATGCAGACAATCAACCTTACATGAAAATTGCCGGTCGTCAGTGTTGTACCGAACATGGCAAAAAAGTCACATATGGAATTATATTAACTACAGTTATAGCTACGGCATGGGTAGGGACCGTACACTTGCTCAAAATTACATACACCACACAACCCAATGTCAAAAATGCTGTGAAAAACACCACAGAGAATCAGAGAATGACAACCGTGTCACCATCTACAGGCACTATCACATACAGTGCTCCATTTTTTACGACATGGTTCTGCAGCATGTGGAACTGCATGTTTTTCCCAATTTTCTTAAGTTTAAGACCCTGTTCTTCGTCTGAAAAGACCACAGTTAAAAAAATTTTAATGTAAATATATTATTAAAAATTATTTCGAAAAAGATTTTATTGATTATAATATATTAAATCGCATTTTTTTATTTTATTTTTAGAGAAAGCATACAGAATTTTCAAGAAAAGAATTTTACTTTGCTTCAGTTTTTCGGTAGATGTTGTCTTTTTAGCCTTCTTTGGGTCATATCAAATTATATGATTGTACATTCTTTGAAAATTTTGGGAACGACGGAAGTTATGGCTTTATTTTCTTCAAACGTTTGCTTTGTTTATTTATTATCCTGGGTTATTCTACACGAAAAATTCGTAGGAATTCGTGTAAGTATTTAAAATTTCCTATAAAATTCTCATAAAAATTCATTTAAATATATTATTTATATTAATTATTAATTGTTATTATTAAGTAAACATAATAAAAATGATATTTTAAAGTAATTAACTAAGCGTAAGCTCTATCTGTATGGATAATTAATTAGTATAAATTGTTATCTTATGCTAATTAAATTATTAAAGTTTATTATATCCGAAAAGATGTCAACATGTGGTTATAAGCAAAATCCAACTTTGTATTGATTAATTCTGTGAAGTAAGCTCGAGTTCAAAGACACTACACCTATTCTTTGAACTCTGTGTTTACGGATAGTATATCAATATTTTTCTAATTATATTTAACCAAATTTTTTTTATTTAAAAAATAATTAAATAAATATACTTAAAAAAAGAATTTTTCTATCGATTTTTCTCATGTTTTAGCATTGTTATATCTTCAATATTTATAATATAAAAGATGCATTTGAAGTATACATATATTATCCTGTTTGCTTTAGACTACGCAGAATCAAAAATATATTTATTCAGTAAATATTTTGACGTATTTTTTCTTCTATTCAAAATGCTCTTACAGTCTGAAATTTTAATGTTGTGGGATTTACGAATGTCGAATATAAGCAGTNTTAAATACCATTAAATTTATAAAATAATTTATTTAGCTATAAAATTTTTACGCGATAATCTATTAAAATTGTAGAATTAAATAATTTTTTAAGAAAATAACGAAGAGTTTCATATAAATAATTTATTTCACTGATGTTTCTGAAGTTTGTAACAGCCAGAATCTACTAAAATAAAATAGAATATTAATGAAAATGAAAAGATTTTCTGGTATATTTGAGATGTATTTAATTTCAGATAGAAGCAATAAATATATTTCTATTTAAGAAATAATTTAAGACGAAATTCTGTTAGAAATTTTAACAACGATGCCGAAGGGACGAATGTTCTTGGTAAAAATAAGTTCTAGTAAATGTCCCTGAGGGAAAGCCATCTCTTCAGGCGCCATGCAGGTCGAGAGCATTGAGGACAGATGCACTTAATCATAATGTCATAGAATAGCATTTTGTAGCTGATTCAGATGCTACTTGTACAAGACAGATTTATGCGAATTTCGGAGAAAAATCGCTGATAAAAAATACGAGATTTTAATTTATAAATCTTGTTTTTAATTTATTAAAATTTACATTTAAATGTTATAAATAAGCTGAAAAAGTTTTACGTTGTAAAGCATATATTTAGCTATCAGTTTTATAATTTTTTAGTAAAATAGTATACAATATATTTTGATGTATCGTTCTCTTAAATAGCGCAACACTCGATTTAGTGCCAAGTTTAAAGGCAAACAAATGGCGACGCTAAATAGGGGTTTGAATGTTAATTGTTAGATGATTTAGCTAAAATCATCTCCTAATCACCTCAAAATTATTATAATTTTAATAACTTATTTTAAAAATTAATTATAGAAAGTATATATATATAGGCTATATATAATTAAAAAATTAGATTTTGTTAAAATTTATCGAATTCTCAATGCGTATTCGTTTAACATTAAAACGGAATTTAGAAATTATTAAAAAAATTCTAATATTTCTAAATTTCAAGAATTTCCTATTAATCATTGAACTGTGGCACGCCCTCTTAACAAGTGATTGTCATGTATATGAGTTTTAATGAATGGTAATATAGGAAAAAACTTAGTTGAATCTTTCTCAATGATATAAATCGGCCATTTTCATAGAATACGACTTTCAGGTTCATCGACTTTTATTATGGAAGAAAAAGAGGAGATGAAACGTAAAAACCGATTGGTAAAGGAAATCGTATTTGAATGGATGCCATTTGATGTGATCAAGACGGATGAGAAAGTGGCTTAGAAACAATTCAACCGATTTGTTAATTAGTTAGAGGGGTCAGAGGTTCTGTATTGATTAAAATTTTGGTTTAATTAGGCTGCAATTTGAAAAAAAATTTATCTGTCTGTCCTTCCTTAATCTCGAGAATTGTGTTATATAAATAAAAGCAGAGACCAGATATGGAAAGCTTCGGGGTAGGAGGGCCCAATTAACTATGTACAAACTACCGGTCTGAACCGGAAGTCATGTGATTTCGATTCAAAAATTTTCCCCAGAATGGAGTTATGTAAATGACCAGTTTTTCCTATAAAATCTTCGAGTGATATTTATAAATATTGATACAATGAATTTTATCTCGAGATACGAAATATTCGTATATAGTTTGCATGATATTGTATAATATTCTACTTCCTACAGCTTAATTTTATATTCGAGTTCTCATTGCTCATAATTTCTGGAATTGACTAACGTGAATCACGTCATATTATCATAAATATTAATTTTTCTTTTTGGAAATTGCGTGACGTACACTTGTAAACTTGTTGTTGTTGTTTTGAGTCCTTTTACTTTATTTTATATAATATTAAAAATTATGATAATGATAATAACTGTCACGTTTTTATATAATTTTTTTTTAATTTATAGTTTTTTACTGAAGATTTATTATATAATTCTTTAGATCGTTGCGGTTATAATATGCAACACAGGTATAGCTCTATTAGCATATATGGATGGTGCATCCAGATCCGTTACATTAGGAGGAGTCGTTTTGGCATCAGCAGCAGCTGCTGGATCAGCTGTATATAAAGTAAGAATGTATTGATTTTAATAACATTTTTAAAATGACGTACGAAACACATAAACCTACATATTAAAAAATACTTTTAACACACATTGAGGGTATAATTGTACAGTTTCAAAGAGTAAATCCATGTAATTCCTACCAAACTAATTAATAGGTTATACAACGCATTCGAAATCAGTAGCTTTATATTAGCTGTGAACATGAGAGCCTGCAGAAAATTTTCCAGGAGGAAACAAATAATTACGTCAATAAATTTTATTTAGTTATTTAATTATTTGGATTTTTTTTCACAAATATATTATA